TATATATAATTTATATATATAATATATGCGCATACATTTTTTGTAGATCGTTAAGGGTGGTCAAGGAAGTTGGGGAAAAATCAATGACGCTACCCCTTCATGGCGTGCACGCCAACTACCAACATATACATATATTATACACGTGAGGAATTAGAGTCGGGCACTGAAATTATCCCTGTCGCCTGTCGTCCGCGATATTCTCGCTACGATCGAGTCGCTCCTACGACTGAGGAAGACATGATGCGAAGCGCGAGAAACTTCTAACCATCGTCGAAAAAAGAAAAGAAAACAAAATCATTCGTGGTCTGCTATTTCGAAGATATAACATAATCGCACATATAAATACAATAATTGTATATAATTATGCGTTACGTCTCGTTGTAGATTATCCCAGACGAATTGGATCTCGTAGCTATTGTTGTATCGGGGCATCGTGTCGAGCATCTTTTGCTGAGCAATCGACGCAACCTGTGCTCTCATCACATATCCCATTATGCCGCCTATAATCTCCAGCAAGAAAATTGCAGCCAGAAGCGTGCAGAACTGTAAATGATCAAAGAAACTATTGTTAAAAGAAGTGTTCAAATTATATTTCAACGATTATCTTTCGTACACTGAGAAAAATGTTTTGTTAGATTAATTGCAATTCTAGTAAAAAAGAGACAAATCAGAATTTTTTTTTAAATCTACTAATCTGATTGATACAATCAGACTCTTCTGATTCGTCTATTTTCAACCAGACATTTTTCTCACTGTATATAATTGTTATGGATATTCCGGCAGAAATCAATTTTGGTATCAGATATTGACTAGAAAATATAATATATCGTGATATATTTTTAAAATATATCTAGAAAATGATAGAATTGAATCTTGAAGCTTTTAAAATATTTATTATATAGTCTCATCGTGCATCAATTTTTTAAAGCAACACCGGAAGCATGTCCGCCCTCGTCTGCGTGTGAGGGAGAGTAATTTTCCCGGAATAAGAGCTGATGGAGGTGGAACGGGGAGGAACCCACACATGTTAATTATATACTTCGTGTACAAAACATATGATCCATTACGTTATGGAAACGAAGGGTAGACGATATCGTAGATGAACAGACTTGGTCGAGCTTTTTGTTTCATATATGTTTCGTATGCAATAGGTCGATCGAAAACCCGACAGTCTATATCAAGATTCTAATCTCGAATTAATTCGAATAGAGCAACGTTGAAAACAACATCGTGAATGTTCTCGAGTCACGATAATAGTCCGCTTTATTACTCGCAGTACATCGCGATTGATCCTCGTCGGTGGCGCGCTCTCAATCGGAAGCACAATCACCTGGCGAGCTTTGCCAGGTACGATCGATCGAATGAGACGTAAATCATTTACGATTGTGAAACAGATGGTTCCTCACGATTGTGAAAGGCATATATATATAGGAAAGACAAGGCGCAATGCGTCTGCAATAGATTCTGCAAAATTTATGACAAATAAGAAGATTATTCGGAAAGAATGAAATTTTGTTGAAATTTTGATGACTACAAATTTGAAAATAATTTTATTGGACCATTAAAATAATTATGTTGAGAAAACTCAAGCATATCAAGCAATGCTGCAAGAAGTTTTGACATTCTGGCAATTAGCTTGAGCATCCTATATAATTATTTTAGTCCAATAAAATTATTTTCAGATCTACCTCTAATTTTTTAGATGTTGTTCCAAAAATGTTGTTCAAAAATATTCTTTTTATGTAAAGATTTTACAGATACAGGATCTGGTATGTACAATACTAGTGAACGCTAATACGAATATTCTCATAAAATATAGGAGATTAATAACAGAAATTCAATAATTTGTTATACTTGTACAATATGACGCAGATTACAGACGACATATTAAAAGCAGTAGATCTGACAGATTCTATTTGGTTTCTGTCAATCAACTGTCAGATTATATCTACAGACTTTATCGGTAAAACTCAAGCTTAATGCAAACAGAGTTAAGTAATGCCAATTTGCTAATAATTTCACGAATTTACTTCCAGTTTGCCGGTATAGATAGTTTGATCATTGGATAGCTTATTATTACTATTGATTTAGCTAATTTTTAGTTAATTATTATTAGTTAATTATTATTTGCTAATTAAAATACATACTATAATTCTATCGCAGTAATAAACGGTCTAATTGCATATGATGCAATGATGAGACATCTTTATTGAAAAAGATTTTGAAATATGTATATATGCGATTTTTAAATCATTCAGCAATAAATTAATAAGTTAATAAAAGTGTAATTTAATGCATGGACAAAAAGTGAATCATTTACTTATTTATGAAGAAAAAGCTTAATCGAAGTGTGTATATTTAATAAGAAAAAAATGTTGTTCAAGTGAATACATATTACATGAATACATATTCGTCTTACCGTTATAATCATGCAATAACTTTCGCGAACAGCTCCACAGCATCCGAAAAAAGCGATGATAAAAATGATGGAGCCCACTGCTACGAGAAGAGAAGGTACGGAGAAGAACCTGTTATCAAGAAAATGTTGATACTGATGATATACTCCATGGATGACCGCTCCGATGAATAGCAACACTATTCCTGTAATCTAAACATAATTCATCGATTCATGATATATTTCCATGGATAAAAGGAACAAAAATGCAATTCGCAATGGAATCAATCATGTTAAAAAATCAGTAATTACATAATGATTTCGTGACGATAAGCAATATTGCGTAAATGATGTAATTATCTAATTAATGTGGTATGTAATTAGCACACTAATGTATTTGAAAAAGATACGCAAGTTTATTTTTTTAATGACGTCAACATTTTCGAGTTTCACATCCGCGTATAGTATATCGTACAAATAACAGCGAGTTGCCAACAGCTGCGGTGTCCGAGCGGTTAAGGAGATGGACTTGAAATCCATTGGGTTCTACCCGCACAGGTTCGAATCCTGTCCGCAGCGAATTTTTTTTTTCTTTATCTTAAATAATATCAGTATCTAATCATTTATATGTAGCTACATTCATATACTTCAATGTAAAAACATAAAAATGATATTTAAATTAATTGTATTAACAATATTAGCAATTTAATAATTTTATATTAATACTTCTATATTATTCTTGTGAAATTACATAATCAATAAAATCAACAATTGCGCCAAAACTATAATCATGAAAGAAATATTAATTCAAATAAAACTTAATAAAAAATTAACACGCATGCGGCGTAAGAATGTTAATAATGAGTTTATTTATAAAACTGATAACGCAACGTGCATTTCGATTATTCTGAATAAAAACATTGAATTTGTCTATTTTATTCAAACTATAGTTTCTACGTATATGTATAAACGATATATTTCCAGATACGAACTTACTATTAATAATAAAATTATTTTAATCGTGATGCTTATTATTTAATATTAAACATAGTTTGATTAATTCATAAATTAGTAAATTATCAAAATTAAAAAATTTTTTAATTCTTGCCTCATTCTATAGCATATAAAATTAATATTGCAATCGCTCTCATCCGTATCGATCACATCAAAGATAATCTTTCAATTTTTATGTCATGCTGTGTGTGAAAAAAATAGAGAAGATGAATATTGTAGGAATTTCCTCTCGAATATATTTCTTAGGTTTATCAAATTTTTTTTTATTGATTTCGCTCAATGATTTATCTACTCATAGTCTTCTCCGATGTATATGCTAATCCAGTTGATGAATAATCAATGAATAATTAACCATGTCTAATTAACTTAATTTTAAGCTTTCAACATATACACATACTTTTAAATGGAATCTATATTTAGACACAAAAAAATTGTATACCCTTTGTTTTCATCAAGAACTTGCGATTAAAGATTTAATTTTAGTGAGTTTATGAAAAAAAAAACGAAATTTAATAAATTATTTATATGAATAGTGTCAACTAAATATTTATTACATATAAAGATTTGTTTGGTACAAAAAACATTAATTTGATTTAATAATAATTTCTTCTTACTAAGAAAATTTATTTATTGTAAGTAAATGTTTGGAATATTTAAATAAATATTTATTTACATGTAGAATAATTTTTTCTCAATACATGTACATATGTATATAATCGTCATTGATATAAAAAATATCATTAATTAATATAAAATCATTAACATATATATAACATAATATATTAATGATTATATATTATATTAAATAACGAAAGGAAAATTTTATGACAATTGCGCTGTTATTGGTATTGACTAGTAGAGATTAGTATGATCCCATACTAAATAGTTATAGTATACATAACGTGAACTAAAGATTTTCAGTGTGCTGGCAGTGTATATCAGAATACAGCTATTGTTACATTGTTTGTAAATTGATATATTCCTAAATCTCAATTACATCCAATTTCCACAAAAACCGATTACTCAATGCATTCTCTAAACGCGTTCTGTAACCGTATCACAACGCTCTTCAGTAATCACATTGTAAATGTTGCCTTTCCACTTAGATTACATTCAAGACTTGATTTCAATTGATAATATTTATCCAAATACTAAGCTCAAATATCTGTTCAAGATAACTCAACAATCACGTGACGCGCAAAATGTTAAAAGTTTAACACAATAAAATATATGTATACTCCACAAATACGCGTTCACTGTACTCCATATTTATTAATGACATTCGAATTAAATTCCACGTTTCAATTTCACGTTTCGGCTATTTCAATAAATATTTGCGGAAAATGTGATTTAAAAACGCGTTACGCATCATTTAAAACTAAATTCTGCTGAACCACATGAACAATGTGCGTACTTTAATGTAATTATTGAATTTTAATGTCCACGAGATGCATATAGAAACGAACATTAAATAATTAACCAAAATAATTATGATCAAATAATTAGTTAATTAAATTAATTAAAACATTTTATTGTAAACATTTTATTGTAAACGTTTATTGAAAATCATAAATTTTAAATAAAATAAAATAGAGTTAAAATTTAATTAAATTAATTTTTTACTGAAATTCGACTTTGTTCCTTTTTATATAGTCTTAAAAAAGAATAAGAAGCTTTTAATTAACTTTTTACTGCAACTATCTCAGTCCATTTCAATTAGCACGCATGATAAAAATAAAATTCGATGAAATATTTAATATTCACTTTACAGCTTTACGGATGCATTTTTATATAAGTTATGCTTTTATCAGGCTTCAATTAGGCTCCAGATAAATTGCAGCTTGTCGATCGTAATCGCAGCTTCTAACGATCGCGTTGAGGCTGCGTCGATACAACGATTCGATAGATCGCAGCGCAATCGCGCGGGTCCATGCCAGCTCATCGTTCCAGAAGGAACGCGAGTCGCGAGACAGCTGATCGTCAACGGCTTACTTACCACAAAGAACAGGTTGAAAATGAACATCAAGTACTTGATGGTCTTCGGTGCCAGACTCAACTTCGCCATTGCCGCAGAACTGTCGGTTATGATTTAAATTATATGTGATTACGTGCACACGCTTCTCTCTCTCTCTCTCTCTCTCTCTCTCTCTCTCTCTCTCTCTCTCTCTCTCTCTCACAGAATTCTTTCACACGAACAGACAATCTGCTATCAAGGGCAAGTCGCGAGTGATACTGCGCGTCTTGAGAGCAACGAAAAACGCCGCGAAAAAAGGTTCTCTCGTCGCGTTCCGACGGGTGGCGCCGATGTGTATATACCGAGAACGGGCTACACGTATGCGATAGGTACCACACACTTATGACTACCACTATTCGGTTGCATTCTTGTATGCGTGCGTACTGCGTGTTATATGCACGTGCTCACGTATGCATATCGGTGCGACACAGAGACCGGTCGAAATCTCGCTTCAATGGCAGCAATTCGTCCCGAGATACGTCGATGGTAGCCAGGTGTTGGTGCGGCACACGTACACCTGTCGCCGATTCGTGCGCGATCGAGGTTACGAAACTCGAGAGATTTCTCGACCAAAGATACAGGGCGTTTCGCAACGGGTTCGTGTACACGCCTATAAACGCTTGTCGAAGAGAATTTCTTCTTAAAGAAACTGATCGAAAAAAATTTAAAAAAAAATATTTTAATTGCATCTTGGAATCTGCATTGACGCAATAAGAATAGACGACAGTTCTATGAAATTGATATTATCGATTTAGACAGAGTAAGGTAACTTGAATGATGATTCATGTCGCGTTCTCTCTTTCTCAATTACCGAGTTAAAGAGAGACGCTTATATGATAATTCAATATTCAATTTTTTTCTAATGGAACACAATAAAATCTTAGAATTAAGGAATGCGCAGTCTGTAGCTATTTACATCTGTAAAAAACGCAATAGATGAGGAAATCTAATAGCAAATTTGATTGGACGCACTCAGTACGTGTACATTAAAGTCGTTATACACAAATTGAAAGAGATATAAAAATATGTGTTTAAACGATGTTTAAATTAAATCGCAAAATCCTCAACTCATACATACATAAAAGATCAAGATAACATCAAGTATTATAGAAATCATTTTAGAAAAAAATCATTATTTTCAAACATCATTTAGATATTGTTATGTCAAGAATTCGTCACAAAATTATCATTAAAAGTGTATCGAAAAATCATGATTTCCTATAAAATGATTTGATGTTATACATATGTGTGTGTGTGTGTGTATATATATATATATATCATGCATACACAGATTTAAAGCTTTCATACGTTAAGTATATAACGGGATAATGTATGCTCGGAGACTAACAAGGGATGGCACACGTTACAGCTACACAATCACGACCACTACTAATGGAAATGACACACACCTGACTTGCGCTAACTAACATTTAGTTCGAACATGGCGTGCAGGTTCTGTTTGTTTGATTGTTTGCCAAAAGCCCGCAAATATTGGTCGATCCATTTACTATGCACGTTG